TTCACTTTATCCAATTCATCTTAAAATGGGTTAGTTCATACCTGGATTTATCTAAGTATCTCTAACATTTCCAAACATACTTCTTTTAAGTTATACCATTACTTTGAAACATTTTAGCCATATTTTTGTGAAGAATGAATGAAACATAGAAACTCTTGTTTTCCATATAGTTTAGTAAATGTAAAGTGAGTTTTGATGATGAACAATGTCCTAAAATTCTCATCATTCAGACCTGGTTCGACCTTAATTTTTCACCACGCACAGAATGAATTTTCGAAATATTTTAGCGGCAGGAGAGTACGTGTTATAACAATGAGCAAATCAAGTAGGCCTATTACATTTGTGGTTCAATGTAGCTGACAGTTTGATGTCTTTACCAAAAAACGGGACTTATTTTTTGTCCCGAAAAAGGTTCTCGGGACACTAGGACAAATTACCAAAAAACGGGACTATCCCCGCAAAACCGAAGCGTCTGGTCATCCTAGCCACTGACGACGAGGGATGACTTCATTGTGAGAAAATAGCGTCTCTCCTCTAGGGTCAGAAGCAGCTCACAAAGCTGGCATGAGAGTGAAAAGTTGATCACGCCGTTTAAATATCAAGTTTCCTGTTTGTGTTTCTTTATAAACATGAAAAGCCAGCAAATCCAAATAGCAGTTGGAATGAAGAGGTTCATGATTCAACCGTTTTGATTCCATGGTTTTAGTCCAACACGGAGTAAATGTAATATTTACTGACCTTCTTCCCTGAAGTGTCAGATCTCGTTGGCTTGTATCAGCAGCATAGTCCAACACAGAGTAAATGTAATATTTACTGACCTTCTTCCCTGAAGTGTCAGATCTCGTTGGCTTGTATCAGCAGCATAGTCCAACACGGAGTAAATGTAATATTTACTGGCTTTCTTCCCTGAAGTGTCAGATCTCGTTGGCTTGTATCAGCAGCATCTTTCCATACTAGCAGAATCAAGCCTTCACGTTTCACAAAACGTAAAAGGCGACTCTTTGAATCTCTACCTCATATAGACAAGAATAAGAGTGGTCAGAAGACGTTGCAGTTAGTCTGGTGAGCCTGCTTTATCCAATACGTCAAACTTTATTAGCAGAGTATCGCTAACTTACTTAATTGAAACTTTTAACGATATAGAATATACTGGTATAAGAAACTCTTCTGAAATATCACATCCAAACTTAGCTATTGCACAGCCTTTGTCATACAACTGTACTTCAAGAAATAAAATAATAACTACCATAACGTTCCAGAGGGAAAAAACAAAACACGTCATGCTATCCATCTGCGTTGGCTTGCTTATAGAAATTTCGTCAAGAAATTAATGTCGCTTTTTTAGATGAAAAACCCCGAACAACTTATATATCAAAACAAAACATTTAGTAAATGAAATGGTCTCCATTCTTATCAATGATGTTTTTCCTTCTTACAATCAGGTTGTTAATGCCCTGATTAAAGAAATCACTTGGCTTTGAAGCAAAAGAAAAAAAAACATGTCGATGTCCTCTTTAACACTTTCCACATTTGCATACGTTTTCTCATTAAGATCGTGTTGCAGCGAACTAAAAAATGGTACTCTGATGGTGCCATTTCTGGAGAATATGGTGGGTGGTGGAGAACTACCCATGACAAACTCCATAATCTTGTGTTGCGTTAAACGTGCCACACGTAAACGTGCATTGTCGTGGAGAAGAACACATTTCCGATTGACGAGTGAAGGGCGTTTTTGATGAAGGGCTTGATTTAAACGTTTTAGTTGCTGACGACAGATCTCTGCATTGACAGTTCACTGTGGATTGAGGAGTTCGAAATGAATTACTCCTTTGAAGTCCCACAAAATGCAAAGCGTCACTTTCTGCGGATGGAGTCCGTGTTTTGGGGTCAGAAGAAGTTTTTGTCTAGGACTGAGCCATTGTTTTGACGTTTAAAATTCGCATAGAGAATCCATTTTTCATCACCGATGACATTTCTGTCTAAAAATCGTTCACACGCATTACATGCCAGAAGAGACGAAGCGACGTTCATACGTTGGAAACGACGATCATCGGAGAGTTCG